AATTTGAAAGAGCGATGGTTTTACATGCCTGTTTGTTGATGACCTTAGTTTTTTGCAAGCATTTGCTGGTGCAGCGGCAGCTCGGTATGTGACAGGCGTGAGAAAGGGATTGAGAAAATGTTCTGCGGCTTCCCACCACTTAGCGAACATACCCGGTGCCACACCGAGAGCCATGATCCGCTGCTTGGCTCAGATTTCAGCAGTCCACTAAAGAGGTTCCGTTGGGGTAAGGGTCACCCCTGAATTGGGCGGCGCTGCACCCATGGCTCCCTCTGGTAATTTGCACCTTCAGAGGTTGGCAAAACGACTGCAGCTTCTTTTGCATTGTAAACCTACCTAAGGGTACGCGCTGATCGTATGGATTCATTCACATGTAGAAATGCGCCCTTCTCGTTAGTATTCCCATCCGGCGCAGTTCGACGACGGGGGGGGGCATTTTGCACTTTGCTACTAACCAGAGAGCTATTTCATGAGCTCACAAGGGTTGACAGGTTTTATCATGGTAGCTCGACGAGCCTACTCTAGCTTAACAAGACTTCACCAGAGTGAAACCTAAAAACCGGAACTAATGCAGCAGTGAAAGTGCAAAATGCCCCTCCCCGTCGCCGAACAGCGCCTTTCCATCCTAGCAAAAAGGTAAAAAGAGGGGTAGACCTGTGGGAAAAAGCACAGTAGTCCAAATGACTTCGCCCGTATGGTCAACACGGAATTTACTTTTGATGCCTACCCCTTTGGAAAAGAGTGTCGTTCACCTTGAATACTCAGTCTAATGTGGTTTTGCTGATGTCTTGCTTTTGTCTTGGTCTTGCTAAATGTCTAATCAGTGTAGTTCAAATAAAGTTCAGTCCCCTATTAGGCCCCACCTGTTGTACCGCACATCAATTAAACTAATAAATAATGGTATATGTCAACCAAGGGCAAGTCTGAAACCCAATTAGTTGGAAGTACTAGCCCTCCTCAAATCTTCTTGCAATTCTAGAAACGGGGAACTCTGGACAAAATTCTCGACAAATTCCAGAAGTTATTGCATAAAAGCTTGAGGTATGGGTTCGAGAACTCCCTGGGGTTTCCCATAACTCAGCATTTAGAAGGCTTCAGTCTAACATTCACAATTATTCCCACCTATTTGCAATTTCACCTTCAGCACCTACACCTCACCCCATGTGAATCCGATAGCATTTCTTGATCTCTTTCAGGAATCGACGATTTCGATCCGTTTCCACCGACCTGCTCTTCGTCTGAGGATCATGGACCGTATCAACATAGATCACACCACTCATGAGTCACGCTTCAGCTCCCCAAGGTAGGCTCACTTTAAAATAAAGTCCTGCTGCTGGGTTGATATAAGTCCTGTCCTCTGGTCAATAAAATTTCAAAATCGTCTGGCTGTTTCAGAACCAATGCCACAACGATTTTTGTTTTCGTTTCGCGGGCGGGTGATCGCCGTTGGTAGTTCACTGAGGCTACTGCATCACGGTACTTACGCGTCCAAATCACGCTTTGCCTATAATGGTTTTGTGTTTCTCTTTGTAAAGATCTCGTTCTTTGTTGATTAGGAAGATGGGAACGTGTTTCAGGAACAGAAAAGTCCGCCTGATGGCTGATGATTATCAGGCATTGGCCACCAGCACGGCTCCCATACGAAAGCCTGCGCCACGCTTTCACACTCCGAACTCGTCCTCCTCCGCCACCGTACTTCTCAGGTGGAAAGCAGAAGCCACCACCTTATCCCGGTCGGACGTCATCAGTAGGGGTAAGTGCAATGGGTGATTCTTCACCTGGAAGAGGCTAGCAGGACCACTTTGGTGCGGCTAATACGCCTTGGGGGGGAAACAATATGTAAGCGCGCTTTGGTCCAGCAATAAAAATACTGTTAACTGTATACACGCGACTACCGGAATGACCTGCCTGTCACCCCTGTGAGCCTTGTTTCACCTGTCAGCACCTACGAACTCCTGTTGTCGAACTTGTTAAAATGGTCAAACTTACTAGCCCTGAACTTACTAGCCTCCACGTATCGGATATGTAGTCTTTAATAGCGCAGGAGTTCACCGGGGACTTGACAGAAATAGCAGGACTTCCAAGGTGAGATACTGTTGTCCAGTGTTCACATAATAACACGACTTAAAAAGTTTGCATGCTGACGTGATGCCCAGGAGCTTACAGATATGCCCCCCCCCATCCCAGGGTTATTGCAGAAGAGCACAAAATTTTGCTCGCGGTAATTTTTTAAAGAAGGTATTCTGTAACATAACGTGATCCAGCTGAAGTCATTCTGCTGGCTACTCTGCAACGGCATGTAGCCGCTACAACTACTACCAATTTCCATTTTACTCAATTCTACTATTTCTAGGCTGCCTCTTCCTGCTCTACACCACTACCGTCTTCATTTGTGCCACAGTCCGCGTCAACGCCGAAAAGCGATAAGGGTTCACCCGTCAAAGAAATTGGAAAACCATCGGACCAAGTTGTGGGTGAAGGCGAGCGACGAACATTTGTCAGGGAAAAGGTTGGTGTTTTGTTACTGAACATCCATCATTAACAGTCAGGGCAAGTCATTGGTTAGGGATTTTGGTCGAGTCTGTGAGACCCCCACTGCCCCTAACCTGAGAGGTAGCTTGATTCGACTCCTTGCCCTCTCCCCAAGTTCGCTCCTCTGATACGATCAAGCTCTCAAACGGGTGGGGTATATATAATTCATGTGATGGAGGAAAAAGAAGAATTTTTCCCAACGCCGCAAATTTCTCTCAGAGGGCCAATATGACCACATCCTCTTACAGCGTTCGTGAACAAGAAAAATCAACCCTCCCCAGCGATCAAATACGGACCCATTGTTGGGGAATCCCCAACAATGATGTGCCCTGTTGCCTGTTTCGAAATACCTAGCGATGGGGGGGGGTGGGGGGGAGAAGCATATACTCTTGGAATACTGCAATCAATCAACTCGGGTCATGTGGTGGTAGATTTATAAGTTCGTTCCTCCCATTCGGATTTTCTGGTAGTTTTCCAGGTAGTTATTCTTCTTCCGTAGGAAATGCTAGGGGGGTCAAGGCGTTTGAGGCGGTACGGAGGCGCACCATCTGAACCTTGGGCATGCTTAGGCATCTGAAAACGACGATTTTGTCGAAACTTCGGGCCAGTATCAAGGAAGAGTTCCATCGAACAACTTTTTGGCACAGTAGAGAGTTTAGTATCGAGCAGTACTCGTAGGGATAGGGGAGGGAACAAGGGAACAACTACAGCCGTACTTTAGTACGCAGTTTCTCTTCTAGTCAATACTGCCTCAACTATCGTTTGTGAACCCCACTACCCCATTACTTTCAATGGCGAAGGATGTTCCCAGAGGAACTCTCTAGTAAAAATCGATGGCTGCAGTATGAAATGACCGCATCGCAACAGCTCGCGGCCACT